CCGCCATGAATCTTGGCAGTACCAAAATTAACAAGATTAGCCACTAGAATGCCGATCGTAATCGATAGTTGGAAAACAACATTCAGAGAGCCTCGGTATTTAGAAGGAGCCATCTCCGAGACATAAAGTGGAACAGACTGAATTGAGAATCCAACACCAATGCCCAAACAAATACGACCAATGATCAACATGGCGATGTTTTGAGCTGCAGCATTAATGGCAGCACCAACCAAAAATACGAAGCCACCGAGAAGCATAGACTTTTTACGACCGAAGGTTTTGGTGACCCAAGATGCTACAAAAGAAGCCAAAAGTGCAGCCAAATAAAGAGAAGAAGTAAACATGGTGAGGGCAACACTATCAAATTTGCAGTATTGATTGGTTGAAGTGTCCAAAGCTTCTTTCTCATAAACAGATGGGAAAAATTTCTGCAGAAATGGAGCCATTGACGTGACGCCACCTGATCAATTCACCAAAAATTAAATAATAAATTATTAAACAATGGAGTGAGTCAAAACGGTAGAAGAAAGCAATTCTATACGAGGTCTTCTTCTACATTATTTTCTAATAAATTGAGTGCCTAAATTTCATGCAGTCGTTTTTTGGTATATTATCAAACTTTCATAGATTTTAATTACCATAACAAATTTATAAAAGTTACTTCATTCTAATATTGAATTAATTTTTTTAAAGTCCTCATATTATATTTTAAGTGTCGTGAGTTTTTAGGCCTTAGAAGCCAACATCTCACTCGCCTATACCTTAAGCTGGGCCTACCCTACATAAAAAATCATTTGGATACCTGAGATACCAATGTCGTAACCGAAGATGAGTCCGCCCATAGCTGCAACAATGCATGTTATCAACACATAAAAAGTGAGTTCTCCAGGATAGTTCTTGATCGACCCGCTTTGATTACCATTGAGCTCGAAACCACCGCCGGCCATCTTAAAAATTGAAGAGAGGAAATAGGAAATATGAACGTAAGGGAAGAGAAGAGATCGAAGAATGTGAAAAAAATCAAAAGCTGAATGGGAGAATATATAGCCAAATTTTTCCTAAGATAGTTAGGAATGGGTTTCCTTCCCAAACACCAAAATCCGTCCATGGGTTGAAGACTTGATAATGAATAATGGGATAATTAAGGTGATAATTACAAAATTATAAGAGATAACTCAATATTATATATATTTTCAAATATAGTTTTAAATTTTATAAAAATACCATAATTCCCAAAAAATCAAATTTAAAAGTAATATAACGTACGTACACTTAAACTATATTTTGAAAGAATTAAAAACTCTTAACATTTTTCTAATATGTATTAAATTTATGCTATCTTACAAAATTTTCATAAAATAAATATGTTTGTTGGTATAATTTAGTTGTGTAATTTTAAGTTTTTCAAGTTTTCGAATAATGAAATTTAGATTTTATCTTTTCGTAACAAAAAAAATGGAAAGGTTCAATTTCAATGTGTATCAATTTTTATTTTAAATTTTATCAAATTACATTTTAAATATAGATTAGTATTGCAATATTCACCTTAAATTTTTAAAATTTTACTCTTTTGATAAGTTTTTGTCTGAGAAAAGTATTTTATATGTGTCAAATGAATTCTAAAACATATGATATTTTGTATGAAATTGATAGAGTTAGGATAAAAACCGACATTAGATAAGTTTTTTTTTTCAATTATAAGTTTTTACACTATTTTTTTTCCAAGTACAATGTTTGGAGGTGGAGGATCGAACTCATTAGCTTTTGGTTAGAAATATACGTCAATTACCCTAAACTATGTTCGATTTGGCTTTAACAGAGTTATTTAATAGTCAATTTTTTGCATTAAATTAAACTTAATTGGCATAAAGCTTGATTTAATTACATTAAGTTAGTGAGTTTTTGAAGTCTTTTTACATTATTTTATTTTTGGTTAAAATTAGTAGCTTAATTAACAAAATTAAATACAAGAAGAAAATTGTAATACATATCTAAATTTAGAGTTAAATTTTGAAACAACTTGCAAAATTTAAAGATAAAACTGGTTGAATCGGAACTTCAAATGCAAAAAGAAAATGAATTCAGAATCCTT